GCCTGGCCCTCTTAACACATGGATTTTAGAGTTCTCTCCAAATCATAGGCTGGAAACAGAGTCTGAGAGACAAGTCATTTGCCGCCTTTGACCATATAGCTAGAGATTAAGTGGCAGAGCTATAGGTAGGCATCAAGTCTAGGGCTGATTCTAAATCTCATTTTTCTTTACACTGTGTCAGTAGTTCTTATACTCTTAGATTTAACAGATCAGTAAAATTATGGGGGAAAAATACTGCTATTAATATTTTCTTGAAGAAAAGACTTTTATAACTGCATTCCTTCAAAAGAACATAACCTGAGAATTAAGGGCAGACTTTTAAATTAAGAAAGTTAGCAAATTTGTGAAATACTCACTATTCTTTTTTCTTTTTTGAGACAGAGTCTCAAGCTGTCCCCCTGGGTAGAGTGCTGTGGCATCACAGCTCACAGCAACCTTCAACTCCTGGGCTCAAGTGAGTCTCCTGCCCAAGCCTTCCAAGTAGCTGGGACCACAGGCACCCACCACAATGCCCGGCTATTTTTTTGGTTGCAGCCATCATTGTTGTTTGGTGGGCCCGGGCTGGGGATTCGAACCCGCCACTTTTAGGTGTATGTGGCTGGCGCCTTAGCCGCTTGAGCCACAGGCGCCGAGCCCATTTGAGCATTTTTATAATGGCACAAAGTCTTTGTTAGATTATCTTGTTACCAGTAGGTGTTCATTTCCTGCGAGGTGCTGCTGGTCAGGCCCTAACAAGGCTGACCGGGTCCACATGCCAATATCTGGAGATTGTTTATTCACTTCCAAGGCTTACTGTCACAGATAAGTTGGGGGACTGGACTCCACGGTACCGGTCAAGGACCCAGGGTGCTCTGTGCACCCAATGAAGTGTTGGCTAACTATAAATTTAGTCTAAATAAAAATACTTTAAAGATATAACCACTTTAAGATAGATAGATACTGTGTTACTTTGTAACCTATGAGGAGGATTGTGTTTGACTGCTGATGTTTACTTTTATTGGAAGAATAAAATGTAACAAAGGGAAAGGGGGCAGAAAACCTTTCTTTGAGAAACCTTTCTTTCTTTGGCTGTTCTCCAAAATTAATGGCTTTTCTGTAAATAAAAATAAAACTGTTGGGTGGCACCTGTGGCTCAAGGAGTGGGGCGCCGGCCCCATATACCAGAGGTGGCGGGTTCAAAGCCAGCCTCGGCCAAAAAATAAAAATAAATAAAATAAAACTGTTGATCATTCACTTCTCTGTTGATTGGCTTGAGTGAGAAGCAGATGGACTCCTTGGTCTGACAACAATTTCACCACCTGTCTTATAATTTTTGTGATTTGGGGGTTCTGGTTTTAATTTCAGCCTCAGTGGACTCTGGGCACAGGTCAGTTTCCTATAATAAGCTTTTGGAACACCTTCTGCTCTGGGCACATGTGTGTTCCCAGTGGTGTGTCACATCAGTTCTGTCTTTGGGTACATACACAGCCTGTGTGGGGGTGGGGGCTCACAGTGCCCTTGTGGGTGGTTTTCTGGTACTTTCCAGCTTCCTGGCTCCTCAGACTTCCCTTCTCAGCCCTCAATCCAGTAAGAAGGGGAGACAGCCACCTGCTTGAAGGCGCAAGGCTGAGAGCAGGGAGCCACCAGGGTCTGTCTTGCCACCTGCAGAAGCAGGTCTCATACTTTCTTCTGCAGCCCCTCCAAGCCAGGCCATAGCAGGGCATGTTGCTGTCTCAGCATCCTGACCACTGCAGTGACACCTACCTGCTTACTCCCATTTAAAGAGGTTTCCTTTTGTTTTATAGAACAGGAACTGTATGTACTTCAGCATGCTTTTAGACACCCCCACCAGCAGGATGTCCCCTACACTCTCAGGCCAGCCCCCAGATCTGCCCTGTTAAGGGAGTTACTCTGCCAGGGTACACACCTGGACCAACTGGCTGCTCAGGGATAGCTGCTGGGAGATGTGTGGGTGGGCCTGGACATGCAGGCCAGAGCGTCTACCCCACAAGAGTGGGCTGGAAAGCAGCAGGTAGAACAGGGGGTGGACCAGGGCCTTCTGGTGACCAGGGAGGCATGCCCATGTAGGGGGAAAGGAGATACTGTTTACCAAATTGCAGCATGACCTGGTCATTCTAACCAGATGGTATTTGGGCCTCCTGCATCTTTTTCCTTATCAACAAGCCTTGTGAACAGCCTGCTCCTTCGCCTGGAAAGCTGTCCATGTGATCTGGCCACACTTGGACTAGTGGGCACTATCCTGTGGACATGATCGCAGAAAGTACCAGAGAGGGCTTGACAAACCTTTAAATTTATCAATTATGCTCATTTTAAGACCTGTTACCAGATTAAGTTCCAAAAAATCCACAGAAGTTCACATATTGACATATGAGTATTCTTACATATTCACCAGCAATGTCTTAATCGCCTTCAAAATTTTTGCCAAGCCAATAGTCAAAAAGTAACATCTCTCCAGCATTTCAAAGCTCTTTAAAAAAAAAAAAAAGTAGCACTTCATTGTTGCTTTGATTGGCTTTTCCTCAGACTTTCCACATCGGTATCTCTGGCCATTTGGTCTCCTGGGAGTGTTCATCTTTCCACAGTTCTTGTCTTTTTCTTATCAATATATGAAAACTCTAAATACTAAGGACTTTAGTCCTTAACCACTCACATACGTGTTTATGTGTTTCAGCCAAGGCGGGGTGGAGACGTGGCAGTGGTCCAGGGTGCCTTGGTCACTGTCCCCCACCTCAGTGCAGCCACCTCTTCTCCCCTGGTCTACACGTTTGAAATTTTGGCTCGGTTTCAGTGTCTCTCCTTCCATCACACCCCTCCTCCCATGGTGGTTATGGGCATGAGGAATGGAGCCTTGTGAACCACTTGGAAGACACCCCTCCCCCAGCCCCAGGCCCCACCAGAACCCACCAGACTGCAGAGGCCCTGTTAGAGTGAGGCAAAGGGAGAGAAGGTAATCCAGTGACTGGCTGCCCTGGGTCTAGAGCTCAGGACTGCAGATGATACTCAAATGTGCATTCTGAGTAACACAGCCTGGGGGTTCAGAAACTTGACCTACTCTGTGTCAGCAGATTCCAGGTGGCAGTGACTTTGTTTCGTGAACTATACAGGAGAGATTGCTCCATCGCATGTGACCTCCTGATGTGTCACTTTCAAATAGTATGGGTAATTAGAGCTGAAAGCATATGGACACTTTGTATTTCATATGAATCCCTAAAAGTAAACATTCAAGTTGGCATTGAAACCTCAGATCCCTACTGAGCGCGTGGGAAGTCCTGGAGGTGCCCACCACCCAAGGAGGGGCTGCTTCCCTCATGGGCCCAGCACACCTGACCTTGGGCTGACTAGGCTCTGACCATAATGTACACAGGTGGCAGCTGCTGCTGTCCCCAGAGACTGGACAGTAATTACCTGAATCAGGCCTGGCTGTGCCCAGCAGCAATTTGGACCTGGAATAACTGAAGCTGTGGTCATCTGCCCCTGTGATCATTCCCTGGGCTCCAGCTATGGCTTCACCACTGACCATACACAGTGGGCAAAGGAGGTCGACAGCCCTCTGCATGGTATCTGGGGGGTGGGGTGGGGTGAGGGGAGAAGCGGCAGAGGACAGACTATCTCTGCTTTCTCCTGAAGACTTGGCTCTGCCTTTTGCTAGGATCACATTCTCTATCCCTTCTCCATCCTAGACTCTCTAGGAGCCCCAGTAGCCCCATCCCACCCTCACAGTCTGTGGCCCCTGAAACAGTCTAGCAGCTCCAGCCAGACTGTCCAGGCCCTCAGAGCACTGAAAAAGGGCAGACCCAAGTGGTAGCCGCGGGGGAAGAGTCAGGTTTAATGATCACTAGGGATAATTGAACATTGTTTAGAGCCAGCCCCCCCCCCCAGCCCCTTTTGGCTAGGGACATAAGCCAAGTGCCCTCAGACCCCTGGCTCTGCAAAAGGGGGGCCTGCCCCCTAGCCCCAGCTATATACAAAAGAGCCCACCCTGCCAGACCCTGGAAAAGGCTGTGAACCCCCTGCCAAGTGGGGGAGCTCCCGCCATCTGCCACCAGCCCCTTGGCTCAGGCCTGGGAGGCCCATTGCCGTGCATAGTGAGCTTCCTGCCTTCCAGGGCCTGCCAAGCTGCTGAGCCCCCAAACCTCTGAGCAGGCATGAGGCCTCCTGATGGGCAGCGCTGAAAGTGCTGGGTGGGCTCAGAGAGATGGGCAGCAGGCTGTAGCCCAGTGTGGCCTCTGAAAGGAAGGGGAGGCTCTGCCCTTCCTTTTTTGCTGCCCAGGCTGCCCCTGCCAGGTCCAGTGCCGGCTGAGGTCAGAGTAAGCGGGGTGGGGTGGTGGGAGGAGTGAAAGCACAGACAGACTTGGCCGGCGTGGACAGAGCCAGGCTGATGGCTCAGGCCGGCCCCACTTGGATGGCCACCCTGGTGCTGGTGATCAAATACGGCAGGGCTGGGGGGAGGGGCAGAGGGTCCAGAACACACACTGGGTGGCTGGGCCTGTTGCCTATGCTGTAACTAGCAGCACAGTACTTGACTAGCTAACTAGTAACACTGCTTCCCTTTGAATTGTTTCAGGTGTAGGAAATTGCACTTATTTCTATAGACCCCGCGGATGGATTCCCAGGGCTGCAGCCTCCAGGCGAGGCATGGGCAGGTCAGTGCCTGGCCACTGCCCGTCTGCTGGCCTCCCCAGGGACTGGGGCCATCATGCCCCATCAGCACAGCGAGAACCAGACCACGCGGGAGAACCTGAGAACGTCTGAGGTGCCCTGAAGCGGCTGGGCAAGACCAGGACTGTGTGGTCTGGGGGAAGAGGCAGCCCAGCCCCAAGTCCCTGGTCCAGAGAAAGTGGCCTGGTGGTGACCGGACAGCAGCCCTGGTCCTCACAGGACTTCATCCAAGTCCAGCAGCTTCGAGTGCTGACGACTCTTCCACAGGCGGTATAGCCGGAAGTCAAAGTAGGTCTCGATCATCTGCTTCCCTGGGCAAGAGACAGTGAGGCCGGGGCTCAGGCCTGGCCTGAGGTCTCCTGAATTCCACCCACTGGTGGCCCCCAGAGAAGGAAATAGGTTATGCTGACTCACCTTGGGCTGACAGCTCCAGTGGGGACTCAAAGGTAACCCTGTAAGGAGTCATGAGGGTCCTGAGGTTCCGGAATAGCTGAAAGAAAGGGCAGGGCTATAAAGCTGGGATGGGGAGAGGACGGGGGTGGGGAAGGAGGGAGGAGGGGGGAGGGGAAAGGGTGGGCAGGGTACCCCTTTCTTGCATAGGACCCCCCCAGGTTTGGCTGGACTCTGGCACAGGGGACTTTGGGGGGGGGGGTGTAAAGGGGAAAGAAGAGAAACACCAGGAAAAATGAAAGGTCGTTTGCTCTTCCAATATGGAGTCACCAGAAGCCTGGGGAGGGGTCTTGGGCTGCTATACCTTCTCCCCATTGGGGTTCCCCAGAATGTAGCAGCCCATGATGTGGACGATGTTCGGCTCCGGGTTCACTTTGCTCATCAAACGGCTCAACCGCTTCCAGAAGCTGTTGGGGGATAGGGGGTCACAGGCAGCCTCCAGCCCCAGTCCCAGATATTGGAGGGGGCTGTGGGGTGAAGGTCAGGACTGCACCTCCAGCCCTCCCCCCAGCCTTGGCGCCCACTTCTCACTGGATCATGTCCTCTTCCTTCTCCACTTTGGCAAAGGTGGCCACCTTGTTCTTAAGCAAGTAGAGGTGTCCAGGGCCTCCCTGTAAGAGGCCTGGGTTAGGCCTGTGGGGGCACAGCCAGAGGGGGGCTCCCACAGTAGTGTCCACATACCTGATACCCCTTTCCCTTCTCTCTCTGTCACACACACACACACATACACACACCCAGTGTCCTTGACCCCCCGCAGACTAGCCTCCTCTTCCGGGCAGGAAGAGTGGGGCTAAGCCCCACCTGGCAGAAAATCAGCATCTTCCAGATCTTGGCACCCTTGTGGTAGATGTTTAGTTTCTTCTCTATCTCCTCTGCAGGGGAGCGGAGTGTAAGTGCCGTGCCCCCACAGCCCCAGGGCCAGCATGCACCCTCTCAAGCCCCAAAACCATACAAGACAGAGTTGAGTAGGGCACGTACCCAGGATGTCCTCAAAGGTTGCATGCTCATGGTCCTAGGGACAGACACAGGTCACATCAGAACTCCTCACAGACTAGACCCCCACCAGACATGCTAGGGACCTGGGGTGAGGGCACCAGCACCCACTGGGGGTTTCTGAACGTGCAGAAATGTGTAGAGAAGAGTACTCACATAGAGGATGGGGATGATGGAGGGGTCGTCCCTGCGGATGATGGTGGGGATATACTCAGCCCTGGGCACCTTGGAGGAAATCAGCTAGGGAAGATGGGGGAAATCAGATGGGGGACTGGGGTGTGGGGAAGGGGTAGGCAGGGTACCCCTTTCTTGCATAGGACCCCCCAGGTTTGGCTGGACTCTGGCACAGGGGACTTCAAGGGGGGGTGTAAAGGGGAGAGAAGAGCAACACCAGGAAAAATGAAAGGTCGTTTGCTCTTCCAGTGTGGAGTCACCAGGAGCCTAGGGAGGGGTCTTGGGCTGCTATACCTTCTCCCCGATGGGGTTCCCCATAATGTAGCAGCCCATGATGTGGACCTTGGGGCCACAGGGATGGCTTTGTCAGGAGCATCTAGGCCCATCCTAGAGCAGTTGACAAGATCCCTCCCCCTCCCATGCAGCCAGGGAGGCTGCAAGGCCTCAAGCAGAGCTGCCACTCTGCTCCAGTGACAGGGAGGAGCACTCTGAGGTCAGCTCTCACCATGACCTTGGGTGGTACAAAGCCTTCGGTGTTGCAGGCCATGGCTTCCAGACCCTTCTCAGTGTCCCAGTCCAGGTCCTCAAAGGCTTCATCCAGCGTGCAGTGGGAGCTCTGCAGGTCACTGCCTGGGGGACAGGCAGGGTCACAAGGACAGCAGACCCATGGCACCTCCTGTCCTGTGTGCAGCCCCTGGCCACAGAGCCCAGAAGGCCCATCCTGGAAGATCTTCAAGCGGTGGGAGAACCAGTGGAAGTGGCTCAACCAGGGAAGGAGGAAAGCAAGTGGGAATGAGTGAGCAAGCATTAGCTCTGGCCACGGAGCCTGACCCCAGAGCTGGAGGGATTGGGGGTGGGCATCGCAGCCTGGCACTGCCACAGCCCTTAGTTGACCCCACCTAAGAGACAGGAAATGCTGGAGCAGCCCATCTCACAGACAGGTAAACTGAGGCTGAATGCAAAAGCGCAGAAGCCTAGTGCCCCTGGCAGGGATCTGGGGAAGTTGGGCCAGCCTGCGTTGGGGCACCTACTGTCTCGGGAGTCGTGGGAAGTGTCGGCTTTCATGGGGGTGGGGTCGCTCCAGGACCGGCTGAAGCTCCGCTCGCGCCGCTCAGCGAACGCTGCAGAGAGCAAAACCCACATTAGCGAGTGGGGCGAGCGGCCTGGGAGGACGGGGCCTAGGGAGACTCACGCCCAGGGCTGCGGAGCCGAGGAGGCCCGGGAACAGGTGAGATGAAAGCTGGGTAGAATATCAAGTCACATAAAGTAGGCAATGACCAACAACAGGGTAAACTTCAAGCCCAGATCTGAGAACACAGGAGCAGGGTGGTGGGGACGGAGCCTGCAAACACTGGGGCAGGGCAGGGGCGGAGCCTGAGGAAACACAGAAGGTGGAGCCTGGGTAAACAGAGGGGGGAAGGGCGGGGCCTGAGGAAACAGAGGCGAGGCATGGGAGGAGCCTGGGGAAAGCAGGTGTGGGGGATAGGGATGGGCCTGAGGAAACACTGAGGGCGGAACCTGCGGAAACAAGAGGGGGGAGGGGCGGGGCCTGAAGAAACAGAGGCGAGGCATGGGAGGAGCCTGGGGAAAGCAGATGCGGGGCAAGGGAGGAGCCTAGGGAAACACAGGGGGTGGGGCGGAGATTTTGCTTAGTAAAAAATGAGGTGGTGCAGAGGAGGAACAAGGGGAAACTTGGAACAGAGGTGAAGCCTGAGGAGACACGGGGCCAGGGAAAGGGCAGAGCCTGGGGAGACACCGGGGGTGCAAAGGCGGAGGCTGAGGCGACACTGGAGGGTTGGGGGTGACTGGGGCGGGGCCAGAGGCCATCTAAACGCAGTCCAAAAACACCAGAGGACAGGAACAGGGCGGAGCCTGGGTGGGGCAAGGCTGGTGGTGTGGCCTCAGGAGGTGTGGCCTGAGAAAAGCACTGCAGCGGGACCCGGCTAGGGAATGCTGGGGAATGCTGGGGAATGCGCATCTAGCAGCCCGCAAAGCCCCAACTGGCCAAGCACTGCGCCGCCCATCCTGCACCCGAGGCTTACTCTGGGCCTTCACCCTCCGGCTGCCGACCATGCGCAGGTGTTTGCGGAAGTTCCTGGGGAAAGAAGCAGGGAGCTGAGGAGGGACGTGAAGGGGCGGCCAGTGCTCCCCCGCCCCCTCCCCCGACACTCCAGCAGTTCCACTCTTGCCCCTTTCCATGTGGGTCATAAATGCTCTCCGTGGTTCTGGTCTCCCGTGTACCACCCACCCACCCCAAGGCAGATCCTGCCCAGTATCTCTCCTACCGATACACATCCCCCCATCTCGGGCTCTCCTTTGCCCCAGATCAAGCCTTCTCTAGTTACAAACACATCCAGACACTCGCAAACGTGCATTACCTCCCTGTATCCATGCAAACCCTGAGGCCTGCAGGCCTCCCCTATAGGTGGCCCAGGCCACAGCCAGGGCAGTGCGGGGCTTGCAGGTACCTCTCCCCTGCTATTACATGCCCCAGACCACAGATCTACTCTACCCTCAAACTTTGTACTCTGCCAAGGCCCAATGTCCAGAATGGACAAATAAGCTCCCCAGACATCTGTGTAGTTGGTGGGAGTGGGGGAGGATAGGCCTTGCCAGTAGCCCCACAGCTCTGGACTTTTGGGCCAGAGACACAGGTAGGCTGGCTGGCTGCAGCTGGACTGTCAGTTCACCCTCAAAATGCAGGCACGGGGTGAAACAGTGTTCTGCAGCCAGGACACACAGCCTCTCCTGCCTGCCACGTCCCCAGAGCAGGGCCAGGCCAGTGGTCGCCACCACCCTTCCCCCATCAGGTCTGCCAGGGCCAGGAGAGCCCAGGCCAGGCCAGCACAGACCAGAGATAGACCCTGGTGGCGAGTGGCTGGCAGGCCCTACCTCTGGATTACAGACGCGGAATCATTCTCCCGTTTCCGGCGTTTCCTCTCTGCGTAGCCCCTGAACACCCTGGGAAACCACCGCGAATCAGCACTGCCCTTGGCCAAAGGCAGGAGGGACACAAATGTGGGGACGGAAGCAGGCACACAGGGCCCAGCAGGGCTTCTGGGGGCACAGGGCTTGGCAGAGGAGTCCTGGCCTGCCTCGCCTGTCTGAGGCCCAGCCCCCAGCAAGCCCTGCTGTCCACAGGGAGCCGGGCCCACACAGAGCACTCCCTCCTGGTCAAGGCCCAGGTCCCTGGCCTGCCCAAAACTATTTGGGGGTTGGAGGATCCTCCCAGGGAGAACAGCTGTGCCCTTAGGTTTAAGGTCATAAAGGGTACTTACGAGATGCTGAAGTTGCAGCGGGAAGGGATGGCATGAGAGGGAAGACACAGTGAGCCTTAGCCCTGGGTCTCCCCTCAGCCCCTCCAGAGCCCTGCAATTAGTTCCCTTCTTGTCACTGACTCAGGGTCCTTCACGGGTACCTCAGCCACCAGCAGAATGCTGACTATGTTGTGTGTCAGCCCTGAAAGGGCAGCAGAAGCTGATGTCACTGCAGCCTATGTCACCATGTGCTGTGAGCTGGCCAGGCTGGACTGGGGGTGGGGGCAGGGAAGTGAGGTGGGGGAGTCCTGCAGAGGCCTGACTGTGCCCTGCCTGCACCCTGCCTGACTTGGAACAGCAGCCTAGGACAGGAGTGGGGTGGGTCCCCCAGGTCAGTTGTGTAGGGAGGGAGCATCTTGGTGCAGTGGCCTCTTAGGCAAAAGGTACCTCCCTGGAAGGAATCCCACAACAGAAAACCTAGACGTGTGTCAAAGGTGAGGACTAAAGCCCCAAGGGACCTCTAAATTGTGACCACCTGCACCTATAACACAGAAGTGGGCTGCTGTTTGGCCTGTGAATGAGGGCAGACTCATGCTCAAGAAAACCAGCCCCACTCCACACACCCACTGACAGCTGCTTCAGCTATAGCCCTGGGCCAGGTCCCCAGACCAAAACACGTTCCCTGGGGTGGGGAAGAGTAGCCTGACTCCCCTGCCAGGCCTGGCCCAGCATGCAGCATGGAGGCATGGGGCTATTCAGAAATAACCCCAAGGACCCAGAGCTTGGGAAAGGGTGGTCAATATTTCCTAAACACCAGAAAGAAGCCACCAGTCCTGACCCGGAGCAGAGGACACAAGACTCACGCTTGCATAGTTGTGGTTGCTGTCTGGAAGCTGAAAAGGTTTTCCTTGGGGAACCAGGTACGGATGGGGACATCATCTGAAAGACACAAACAAGAGCTAGCATAGGGTGTGTGGGGGCACCCTGCTGGGAAAGGGATGCTTCTAGACCCAGGGACCAGTGGCAGCTGTTAGGGTTCAGGTGGCAGGGTGGCCCCAGCCTTCTCCCAGGTGGGAGGTGGGTGTGGGTTAGACCCCTAATGAGACCTGAAGGCACTGCCCAGATGCTCATGCATCAAGACCATGCTCAGAAGCTCAGGGACTTGATTTTTTTTGTTGTTTACTTTCCCTTTAACTGCTCAAAATTTGAGGAACCTTCCTTTGAAAGCACAGTCTATCTCCAGGGCTGCCCAGAAACAAATTCATCTTGTCTTCCTTTGGTAGACAGAGCCCCAGGGGACTCTCTGTAGTCCCCATGCTCTGGTATCAGCCCAGCCAGACCCCAGTTAAGGCCCTCACTGAGGCTGGATACTACTGTGCTGAAGGCTGACCCTCTCCTGGGCCCTACAGCCATAGGCCTTCCATGATGCCCAGGTGTGGGCTGGCAGAATATCCCAGGAAGACCTCTCTGTGGGATGAAATAACTACCAGACATGGCTCAACACCCCTGGGAAGAGGCCTCCTGGCTGGCTTGGTCTTGGAAGCTCCCAGAACTCCCTAAAGCAACCCAATCTTCCCTGTAAGGCATGCTTCCTGCCTGCTCACCCTTCGAGATTCTCCCTGGCCCCTCCTCCAGGAAGCACTCTTTGACCTGCTGCTGGCAGGCCAGAGCTGACCAAGAGGCCTGGAGATCTTTGCTGAGAAGTGGAGGGAGCCCACAGCTCATGGGGTGTGGGAGAGGAGTCAGGAGCCTAGGGGGTTAACCTTGTGGCTGCTGGCACACCTGAGTGGGCAACCTCCCTTGTCCCCTTCCCCGTGCAGCAGCAGCACACCTCCAACTTTGTCTGTGCCCTGAGACAAACCCTCACCAGACACTCGATCAACACTGTACATCCTTTCCAGCTTCTTGCGGCGGCCAGAGGCATCGGGCAGAGGTGGCTGGTCCAGCCCAAAGGGCTGAGGGGAGGTGCTGGAGGCCAGCTGGGCACATCCAGGACACTCCTTGGAACCTTGGCGGCTGCCTGCCCAGCTCTGGCAGGGCCTGCTGACATCCTCGTGGCTGCCACCCGGGCTGGCTCTCAAGGGCTGGCTATGATGGTGATGGTGCCGCTCCCGTGGGCCCCGTCCCTTCACCACAGCCAGCTCGATGGCCTCGGCCTTGGGGCTGGGGAGCAGAGTTGGCTCCCCAGAGATGGTGTACACACGGGGCTGGGGGCCCTCACCAGCCGGCTCCCCTCCACAGGCCTCCTCTGAGAGGCTGCCTTCATAGCGACCGTTGGAGACGACAGAAAGGCGACGCTTGTTCTGGGGGGCTGGCTGCATCTCGGGGGACCCGTCGTGGCCAGAGTAGGCATCAGCCAGCAGGTGGTCTAGGAGAGAGGCACCAGGTGAGCCCGCAGCCCACTGGGTCTGCCCTTCCAGTCAGATGCTATGGGCACCTGGCCTGATGTGGGCTCCCCAAATCCTCGGTGCCAACACCTTCAGGAAAAGCATGTCCAAGCCCTTCGCTCCTCCTACTGGGGCCTGAAGCCCTGGGTGTACAGGAAGGGAGGTGCGGGGAGGTGGGGGGGATGACAAGCCATGCCACTTGTGGGTGGTCCTGGGGGAAGGAACAGGCAGGCCATCTCCCAGCAAGCAATCTCAGTTTGCCTGGTGCCAACTTCTCCCCTCCCCCAACCAGCTGGCCCAGAGACAGTGGTGCCAGCCCTAGGGTGCCAGGAGGCCTGTTGCCATGCCAACGGCCCAGGCTGGGTGGGTGCCATGGTGATTAGTGACTCTGAGCTGCTCCTGGGGCTCTGGGTAGGGAGTAAGGGAAGCCAGCCCTACAGAGCATTAGACCCCAACCATCGCTGCTCACACTCCACCTCGAGGCAGGGGAGGTGTCCCTCAGGTTGGGGGTGCCTTGGACCCGCGCTAGCACCACCTCATGGGCCCCCACCTGCGCCGTTGCGGTTCTCAGGGTGACTCTGGGACAGGTACTCTCCGAATGCTCGGGCTGCTCTGCAGGGTGGGCAGACAGGACACTGTAAGTGCACACAGCCCACCTTGGCCAAAGCCTGGGGTCTGCACCCCCACGCAGGCCCACCCCACCAACAAGACAGGGTCAGAGACCATCCGACTCGAGAAAGCCCAGGGAACCCTAGTGAGCCTTGGCCATACCTGAAGGCCATGGCCCATCTGCTGTTGGAGCGGGGTCATGAAGCCAGAGGCCCACATGGACCTGGAGCGCCCTCTCGCCCACCAAGGGCTCAAGGAAGGGAGGGCTGGAGAGGGGACCAGGAGAGGGAGCCGCCACGAGAGAACGTGGGGGAGGGCAGCCGGGTGCGGGAGAGGCGCCGCAAAGGGAGAGGCTCGAGGGGCAGTGGGGGGGGGAGACACCCAGGAGGGGGTGGGGGGACAGCCAGGAGGGAGTCGGAGCGCAAGAACCTGGTCCCGGTGTCTGGACCCTAGGTCAGCTAGGCGACCCAGGGCGCAGGTCCCCCCGAGCACTCACCGTACTTTGGCCGCCACCGAGGACATGGCCTCGCTCCTCAGCGCCCTCCTTCTGGAGGCGGCAGCACCCATGGTCGGGGCGGCCGCGCATCCCCCGGGCCTCAGAGCGCGCCCCGCGCCCGCCGCCGCCGCCGGGGGAGCCGCGCCGCGCGAGGGGTCGCGGTCAGGGTCGCGGGCGCGCTCGCGCTCAGGGTTGGGGTCGGGCTCGGGTCCCGCATGGCCGCGCCCGGCACCAGCGAGTCCCGCCGCTCTAGGGAGAGCGCAGCCCGGGCCGGGGGCGGGCAGCTCCGCCCGTCGTGACGTCACGGGGCGGGCTGGACTAGGGTTCCGCCCTCGTGATGTCACGAGACGGGAGGGGCCGGCTGGCTCGGTGTGTTCTCGCTGCAGCTCTCCGGAAAAACTGAGGCAGGTGGTCACCTGACCGCAGGGTCCTAGGCGGGGTCCTCATGGCCCGCTGCTCTCAGACCTGCAGGGGTCACAGAACGGGCGCTTCTCACTCTTAGACCAAAAGGTTCCCCTGCGGAAACCGAAGGGAGCGCTCCCGCACACTTTTGGTTTTGGGGGACCCTGTTCCATCCAGACCCTGCGCACTTTGCGTGGCTGGCCTGGAGTAGCCGCCCTGGGTTTTCAGGAGGATAGACAACCGCTCCATTTCCCACCGGGACCTCAGCACTGGGGACATGCCCGACAGAGCGTCAGAATTGCCTTATTAGCGCGCGGCCCAGCCTCGGGGGGCCCCCACACCTCCCGGGGCCTCGTGGGCTCGCAGGGGACTGCACAGCCCCCGGGACTGCTGCTTGAGTGGAAGGGTTGCTAGTGCAGAGGGGAGCCCAGACCTTGGAAACCGGACAGTTGGAGTGGCCTTTCGGACAGACCCAAGACACGCTACGTTAGAGATATGTCCGTCCGCAGAGGTCTCTACTGGTCTTGGTCAGAGAGCCAGGGGAGAGAAGATCCCTGGGGCGTTTTGGGGAAAGACAGCTTAGGGTGTTGTGCTGAAGCATCCTGCTGGGAGCAAAGGGCGAGGTGAGGGCAGGAGGGCAAGGCAGGCCGGAGGGGCGACCCTGGGCTGGCTCCTGGAGGGCAGCTGGGCTGCAGTGGGGGAGCAGCGCCCAGGACCCATGGGCGGATCGGGATGGCCCTCAGCTCACCCAGTCAGAGCCAGCTCTGTCGGGGATGCCTTGAGTGTCCAGCAGCTCCTCCTCAAATTGGGTCTGGTAGTCAGATTCATCTGGACAGAGGGGAGGCCCACACTGCTCCCTTCTGAGGCCAGGGCCAGGCCTAGAGCAGGTAAACCTCAGGGGCAGAGCAGGCAGCAGACTCCACCCCACTGCTGCAGGGGGGCTATGACTGCCCAGCAGAGAGGCAGGATCTGTCAGCCTGTCCCATACTGGTGGGTCTTCCACGGACCTTGCCCCCTCACCAGGTGCCCCAAGAAGAGCTAACACCCTAGAGCCTGCTGCCAGGAAGGCAATGGCCTGGCCCCTAGTGCAAGGCCCAGACAGAACCTGTGTGTACTGAATGGGGCTTTGTGGCCCACTGGGTCAGGCAGGGTGGGGGGCAATGTAGTTACACCCTAGGTCTATAGTGTGGGTGGGGGCTTGGGGTGACTGAAAGGACAGGCCTGAGTAGCTTGGGGTGGTGATGGGCCTAGGGCTGTAGGACGCGTGCTGGCCAGACAGGGGTGCTGCCAAGCTTCCTGGCTGGTAGAGCCTTAGTGGTGGGCCTGGGGTGGCAGGCCTGGGGACAGTGGGGCCTAGCACAATGTCAGAAGGTCATGCTACCACCACCAGCCTCAATTGGACAACTCACCATCCACCACAGCAGCCTTGCCAGTCTCAATGCACAACACAGTTGCAGCCAGGTCCGTGAAGGAGGCATTGGGGCAGGTGGGGACCTGGAACCATGGAGGACAGGCACATCACATTCCATGCAGCTGCCTGCCACAATCCCCCACTCGCACCACCACCCTTCCCCTCAGGGCTGTTGCCCTGCCCTTCTGTTTAGGCCCCCAGAGTTGGGGGTTAGGGTCAAGGCCCTCTTGCAGGGCACTTACCCTGAAGGCTTTTCTTTTATGTCCCTTGGTGGTTCTAGAGCTTATTTTCTAGAACCCAACTGTGATCCCAGATCTCAAACACTGTCTAAACTGGTACCCCTCTTCTTGTGCACATCCAGGGCCCTGTTAGGAGGTACAGGGAGCTCCTATGTCTTGGGTGCACCCTGGCTCCTGTCAGGAGGTGTAGGGAGCCCTGTGTATCCCGGGCATACTGGGGCCACATCAGGAGGTATGGGGAGCTCCCCTGCATCCTGGACACACCCAGGGCCCCTTCAAGAGGTGCAGGGAGCCCCTGGATCATGGGCACATCCAGGGCCCCATCAGGAGGTGGGGGGCCCTGTCAGGAAGTGTGAGGAGCCCCCCTGCATCCTGGACACACCCTGGGCCCCTTCAGGAGGTGTGGGGAACCCCCAACTTTCTAGGCACACCTGAAGCCCCATCAGGAAGTGTAGTAAGGGAACCATACTGCCTCCGCCCCTGCAGTGGTGGTTGACACACAGATCTCATTGAACTGCCAAAGTGCAAGATGCCATAGCATCTTCCATGTTGATGGAAGAGAGCATGTACTTGCGATAATCACTGTTCTTCACCCTCTCCAGCTGCCAGACACAGCACAAGTAGGCCAAGTGCGTCTGAATCTCCATGTTCAACACTTGCTGCCATCACGGCTGCCTGAGTCTGTGGCCCAGTCACTCCTCCAGCCCAGCCTGGCAAGGGCACAAGACAGGCCCTGAGGACCCAACCCCTGTTGTCAAGCTGGGGACTGGAGTGTTCTGGCCAGTGACAGAGCCTTCAGGCCCCTTCCTCCTCCTGTCCCCAAAGCTGTCCCAGGGCCTGGGCAGGGGTAGTGAAGGATGGACCCCAGAGCTGCTGGACTGGGAGCCTAGGAGCCGCTCCCATCACTCCCCCATGGGACAGAAGGTGGGAGTGGGGGTACAGCAGGGATAACTCCTCAAAGAACTGCTCTGCCCCCCCTTTCCCTTTATTTTTTTCTTACAGTAAAAGTAAACATCAGCAATGTTATTATTTATCATAGTATGGGGCAAATAGAATCCTCCTCATAGGTTACAAAGTTACACAATATCTTAGTTTCTTAAAGAGGTTGTATCCTCAAAGCATTTTTACAATAGACTAAATTTATAGTCAGTCAACTCTGAGTTGTTGACCGGTACCGTAGAGTCCAGTCCCCCTACTTATCTATGACATAGCCTTGGAAGTGAATAAACAATCTCCAGATGTCAGCACGTAGGCTCCTCCGGCCTTGTTGGGGCCTGACCAGTAGCCCCCTGCATGAAATGGCCATTCAGGTGAACAATGGCTGGTAATACCACCAGGCATCACCTCTACCTCGACTACTGTGGCCAGGGGGTTCTTCCTAAACTGCCACCACCCAGCGTGTCACTATAATTGGTGAGGTCCATCTCATCCTGGCTGCCCACGTCAATGGTGAGCACCACTTTGCCCCTGTGGACCTGGGCACATCTTCCAGGGAGAAGGCAGCCCTAGTCATCACCAGGCACAGACAGGGACAGGGCACAGACTGGCTGAGCCTGGGAGACCTGGGACTGGTGGCCAAGGGGTCACTTCTCCACATTACAGGCAGGAGCTGCACATGTCCAACAGGTGAGAGGTGTGAGCTCTCCTGCAGTGAACCTGACACCTGCAAGGCACTGGCTCTGACTTCGAGCACAGATGGGAACTAATCGTTTCTGTTCCTCTACTTGGCCTTTGTTCTTCATGCTGCTGAGCTGACAAACAGGGCCATATGCTGGGACAGGTGGCCCTGCGCCTGCGTGTGCACATGTTTCCCATGCTGTACGGACCCTGCTCAGATGCCAGGCTGACATTTCCTCTGGCACACTCTAGGGGAAACGTGCTCCATGCAGCTGCAGTCAATGCGGGGCAGGCTGACCAAGGCAGCTCTGTGCTCATGTCAGTGGGTCTCTCCTGGCCACTGAATACCTGGGAGGTTGTTGATGTAGCTTCTGTTCTTCAGCAGGCATCCATCTTTGGGGTCCCAGAGAGGGGGCAGGTAGCCCAATGGGCATACTGGTGTGCACGCACTGCCATAGGGAGCCTGTGGGGGAGGAACCTTTGCCCACAGGAGTTTCTTGCCCTGGACCCAAGGCTCAGCTTCTTGCCTTCGTGGGTCCAAGAGCTGGTAGGTGCCACCTCTAGGACAAGGCACCAGCCTAGAGTAAACCTACACAGAGCCCTTCCTGGGGAGGGCAGAGTCCAGGAGGCTACACAGGAGTGAGGTCTTTCTCTGGGGTCATAACACACTGTACCCAGCTCTGGACTTCCCACTGTGCTATGCCCCCACCCCAGGACTGGCCCTGGCCCCAGATCTCAGTGCCCTGACCCTTGGTCCAAGTGCACCCTGGTCCCAGGTCTGAGCATGTCCTGACCCTAGGACCAAGAGCGCCCTGAGCCTGGCACCCAAGATGGTCATGTGTGGAAGGGTTGCTCACCATCTGTGTGGACCCGCATGGCGGAGACTGTGATATTGGTGGTAATGGCAAAGTAGGGAACCCACAGGTCTTGTGGGAGGGTGGGCTCAAACAGGCCCCACCAGGGGAGGCATAGGGCAGGGTCATCCAATCAGAGGCCAGGGGCTGGCATGGGCTCCAGAAGTGGCCCATCAAAGGTATGGGGCACACCATGACCTGTTCGTCCTTGAAGATGCTGCAGATGGTGCTGTTGATGCCATCTCTGGAGAACATGGACATGATGGGTTAGGTGAGGTCCAGCACAACCCTCACCATGGACGTCATGTCCTGGGGTCACATAGAGGCCTCTGCAGAGGGGTCCGTAGGCCCTGCTGAGCAGCAGAGCTCAGGTCAACTACTGGGGCCTACCAGTAGGGACCAGTGAGACCCAGCAGGGATTCCCCCAGGTGAGCAGGGGGCTCTCCAGCCCCACATCCTACCACTCAGGCATTGCCTCAGCCCTGCCCTCTGTCAGCAACTCTTTTGGGACAGCCTGAGATCTGCCCTTCCTCGGTGTGGCCAAGGCTGGTCAGAACCTGGGTAAGCCTCACACTAGGAGCTGGGGTGATGAAGAAGGGTCCTCCCTGACACCGTGTGCCAGGCTCACAGGCCAAATGTGGGGAGGGGAGAGTCTGGGGCATGGGCTGGACATGTGCAGGCCTTGTGCGCCCAGAATGAGGTGTGTGGTGCAGTCACTATTTGCAACTAGCAAGAGATGTGCATGCAGGCCCTGGGCCTCCAGGAAGCATACAGCTCCAGAGGGGCTCACAGAGCACGTGGACTGCAGCCAGAGCCCTCATGCTGCCCAACTGCACAGCTGCCTGTAGCGGGTTGCCCTGGTAGGCTCCTGTAGACAGTGGGACCAGCCCAATGAGTCCTGACTATTCCCATGCCCTGTCTCCAGCACCAGCCTGGTGGGGGCGGGCCAGGGCCACCCTGCTGAGGGCATACTTCCATCATCCTGCTGCTGTGTCAGCCCCCAGGCCTTCTCTCTTGAGCGGCCATCCCAAAGTGTGTTAAACATTTCTGGAACAGAGGGGGGAGTCAGTGACATGGCCTCAAGGACCTTGGTTGGCCGCCATGTGAAGCAGCTGAGCTCGTGCCCTGAGAGCAGCTGCTGCCTACAGGGTGATGAAGTTTCTTTTCTTTGAAAGGAGAACAAAACACTTTTGATCCCACTCATGCTTTCTCTCTGTTCATGGAAACAAGCCTAGTGCTGAGAAGGGCGGTTGTGGGAGAGGCAAGCCCACCTGGCTCCTCCGGGGCAGCCTGTCCTAGCTTTTTCTTTGATTCTGCATTTGAGGTATCCTTTTCTCACAAGGCCAGACAATGGCCAAAGTAGTCTATACCCTGCCCCTGCCTGCTGCCTCCAGTCAGTGTGTCCCCAACCAGAGTTTGTCCCAGTGTCCAGAGCAGCCTGTCCCTGACTGCTCCCTACCCCCCAGCTTTCCCTGGCTTCTTCCTGCCCCTGGGGCCCCCTGTGGCCTGTAAGTATAAACCACTCTCCTTTCACTTCCCCAACCTCTCAGTCTCCTCACCTGCCCCTAGTCCCTGGGCAGCTGCCCATCATGACCTACATTCTTTGCTTCTTGGGGCCCTCCCTGAACTCCACACATTCTCTCAAAGGCCTAAGGGGCTAGAGCCCTGCAGAGCCGCATGCAGGGGCCACAGGTGACCTGTCTACCTGCTGTCTGGAAGCTGGGCCCCAGAAAGAGTGGGGGTGCCTGCTGACCTCTGCCCACTGGTTGGCCTGGATCTGCATCTGGCTGTAGCCTCGCTCTTCAGAGTACCTACCCATGAAAGGCCCAATGGGCATGCTTCCAACCATTTCCACAGTGCTGGCACACTCTGTCAGGGCCCTGAGGACACCCACCCAGCCACAGCCTCTATTCCTGCCAGGGATAAACAGCAGAGAGTGAGCCCCACCAGGGGCAGCTACCCACAGCCCACCTGTTCATCCTCGGTTCCCAATCTCACAGGCCAAGATGCTGACTTAAAGAGAGTTTCTGGGTGTGACCTAACATCCCACTCTCTGGAGGTATGGAGGACTACAGGGATGGGCAGGGAAGGTATCCCAAGAGGCAACCAGCACTGGTTTCTTCTACTCACAAGCATCTGCTGCCCTCAGGATTATGTTCAAGAGCTAGAGGAGCACAGTAGGACCCCTGGAGGTGAGGGGCCCTGGGGAGCATCCTAAGAATGGACTGGAAACAGGCTGGGAAGCCAGTGCCTAATTGCCTCAAGCCCAGACTGAGTTCTAACCCAGAGCCTCAGATCATTGCCACCACTGACCCTGTAGGATGTCCACCACTCAACCAAAAATTACCAGTCACATGGGAGAAGAGACCAGAAGGCTGTAAGAAAAAGGAACCTAAGGTTAGCCTAGATAAGCCCATTTGGAAATGGAGAGTGGGGATAGTGCCACAACATTGTGAATATATTTAATTCTATGCTCAAAAATGATTAAAATGGGGTGGCACCTGTGGCTCAAAGGAGTAGGTGCCGGCTCCATATGCCGGAGGTGGTGGGTTCAAACCCAGCCCCGGCCAAAAACTGCAAAAAAAAAAAAAAGAACTCGCCCGAGTCTTGTCCTCTCCTCTTCTGACATCGTGTCCTTTACTACTCATTCCACCACCTTCTCCAGCAATTACCGGTCCCTGGGCTCAGTCCAGGCGCCCAGCTGCAGTGTCTGGCCCACCAGCAGCGCAGCCAGTGTCTATGCGGGCGCGGGGGACTTGGGCTCCCAGATCTCCATGTCCTGCTCCACCAGCTTCCAGGGCGGCTGGGGGTCCGGGGGCCTGGCCATGGGGATGGCCAGGGGTCTGACAGGAATAGGGGGCATCCAGACTAAGAAGGAGACCATGCAAGAACTGAATGACCGCCTGGCCTCCTACCTGGACAGAGTGAGGAACCTGGAGACTGATAATCGGAGGCTGGAGAGCAAAATCTGGGAACACCTGGAGAAGAAGGGGCCCCAGGTCAGAGATTGGGCGCATTACTTCAAGACCATCAAGGACCTGAGGGCACAGATCTTTGCCTATTCTGTGGACAATGCCCTCATCGTTCTGCAGATTGACAATGCCCGTCTTGCTGCTGATGACTTTAGAGTCAAGTATGAGACAGAACTGGCCGTGCGCCAGTCTGTGGAGAGAGACATCCATGGGCTCCGCAAGGTCATTGATACACCAATATCACTCCACTGCAGCTGGAATCAGAGATCGAGGCTCTCAAAGAGGAGCTGCTCTCCATGAAGAAGAACCATGAGGAGGAAGTAAAAGTCCTAAAATCCAGATTGCCAGCTCTGGGTTGACTGTGGAGGTAGATGCTCCCACATCCCAGGACCTGAGCAAGATCATGGCAGACATGTGGGCCCAGTATGACGAGCTGCCTCAGAAGAACCAAGAATCGCTGGCCAAGACCTGATCCCAGCAGACTGAGGAGAGCACCTCAGTGGTCACCTCACAGTTTTCTGAGGTCAGAGCTGCTAAGACAATGCTCACAGAGCTGACGTGTACAGTCAAGTCCTTGGAGATTGAACTGGACTCCATGAGAAATCAGAAGTCCAGGTTGGAGGACAGCCTGAGGGAGGTGGAGGCCCACTACGCCATGCAGATGGAGCAACTCAATGGGGTCCTGCTGCATTTGGAGTCAGAGCTGGCACAGA